TCGTGCACATTCGATTCCGTGGAACCGTGCAATTCGGACTCTGACGGACGAAAGAGTCATCAGGTGCACCCAGGGAGTTTGCACGGTAATTAGATTAGTGTGAAGCAGTCTTGTTCTTCCTCCGCCACAGCTCCCTCTCTCTCCTTCCATGTTCATCGGGCATTTGCAAGAAGATAGTGTGGAGACGATCGGAAGTGCACAGAGTCGCACTATTGAACTTCCATCCTCACGAAATTGCGACCGTCTTGAGCAAGCAAAGGACTTTATCTATCTCGTGATCCATGCACGCAGTTTGAGCATCAGCAATTAGCTGCTCGGTAATCCTATTATCGTGAGACACACACCCCATCTCACCCATTCCCTCGTTACAGAACGTCTGCGACAAGACAATGCGAAGACGATGGGAGGTGAACAGGGTTGCACTGACTGCCCTTCAAGCACTCGGCTAAAGTCGATACAATGAACAAACAGCAATGTCTGAGTACCAGTCATTACATGCTTGTCGAGATTATGAAATAGGATCCCGATTAGACATGATTTTTTAAGTCGGATAGTGGACGTGAGAATCATGCAGGTTAATATCATGTTCGTCAAAGACTGGTGGAGGTAAACTGAAAATTACCAGAGGAAGGCTTTTGCAGGGTAGTGTGTGCGACATCGGGAACAATTTTGCCATTTGCCAAAAAACCTTGCACGGTGATGTTGTAAATCGAAGAAGTATCCAAGCCGCTAATGGTGATAACTGTATCCTTCGTGGTTAAAGTCTTCTTATAGCCTTCACCGTAGATAGTGATGTGGTACTCGTCTTTGAATTTGTCCGCAGGGAGTGGTTTCTGCCAGCTCACATGGATGGTAGTGGAATTCACAATAGAGGCAGTAAAATCTCTCGGCTTTGGCACCGGCACATCTGCAGAGCAAAAGATAAATAAACGGTGTCACAGTTCGAACACTGGTTAGGCGTTAAGGGCAAATTATACGGCACCCTATCATCCTAGCAGTCGTGTTTCAGAATGACCTAGTGCTGCATTTGGACTTATAGATCATCAGCCTCAAGTAAGCATAGACCGTCACGACCTAAATGTGCTGGGAGTCATTAAGGATCTGGGCATATCATATTCTAATGGTCTTACTCTGTCAGAGCACTGCGTTCTGAATGTCTCGAAGGCACGCCAAACTACCGGAGTTATTCGGAGAAATTTTAAAGCCAAAAATATTAGAACTAGGCTTTAGTAAATGTACGGTAGACCTAGTCTGGAATACTGCTTGTTTCTACGTAGCCTTCTGCGCACTAGTGAACGGAGGAAAATAGGATCGGTCCAGGGTTTCTTTGCCAGAAGGGTGTTCTCTTCAGAACACCGCAATCTGTCCTACCAATAACGTTCTAGGCTTACTAACCTTGATCCGTTGTGACTTCGCAAATTATATAAGAGACTATTGATAGTGTTTAAAATTTTAAACAGTCGGACCCTTAATCCCCTTAGTAGTATGAAGCAGCTTGACCACTGTCGGTCAGTCTCGAGATGTCTTTTTATTTCTTTCCCTGGCACGTACAGCTTTTTTCCATAAACGCCATAGCAATCTGGAATAGAATATCCGGAAGCATCACAATTCAGCAAAGCTCCCCTTTGTTTAAGAGAGCTATCATTAGTTTTCTGTATCCAGGAAACCTTTGGGTGCTGACACGGTGAAATCTCTCTTTCGCTCTGACGGTGTCCGCGGACTCTGAATCCCCTGCCAGGCCTCATGCTGAGGACAATGCTGCTGAATCTGCAGCCCGCAATCGGCATATTCTTCAGCCGACAGCGAGCAAGCGTTCACCGACACACCTTTATCTGATGCAGAGTACCAAATCTATTACACTCAGGGGAGACTGACTACACCAGGTACCTGTGTCAACCCTTACCCGTCCCGAAATTCAGTCATTCAACGAACTGCAGCCTTTTCCCCTGCATAAAGCTAGAAAGGATGATCAGGCATTTTTTTTCACTGGCAGCTCGATCATCTTCTATAAATATAAATTTTGACCTTGACTGTAAACTAGCAAACAATAAATTTCCAACGTGTGCATACACGAGGAGGGCTGATTACTGGTGCAACACTACCTAGAGTGTTTTCAAAGATGCAAGAGCATCAGGTGGTGTAATCTGCAACTTACCTCTGTCTGGCATTCGCACAGAACCGAATGCTACGGCAGGGAAAGGCTTGCCATTCTTGTCGAGACACTGGAGAGTGAAATTATAAACGGAAGAGGGACCCAGGTTGGTTATTGTCTCCTCTGTCTTCTCCAGCG